AGCCAGGTCACGATCTCGCGGTCCGTGAGTTCGAGCCCCGCGTCAGGCTCTGGGCTGATGGCTCGGAGCCTGGAGCCTGTTTCCGATTCTGTGTCTCCCTCTCTCTCTGCCCCTCCCCCGTTCATGCTCTGTCTCTCTCTGTCCCAAAAAAACAAAACAAAACAAAAAAAAACGTTGATAAACTTGTTGAAAAAAATGTGAGTTGGTCTCCAGTGTAGCTACTTTGTCAGAGATTTCAAAGTATTTGTGTGTGTATGTGCGTGTGTGTATGTGTGTGTGTGTGTTCATTCTAAGAAGGGTTGTAAAATCGAATCACCAGAAGGACTAGGCAGGTATCTGAAGGAGTGAGTAGTCTTTTTCTTTCCAATGTTTAATTATGAAAAGTTTCAAATCTACAGAAAAAATACAAAGACTTTAACATTGACTCACACACCCACCACCTACATTCAATAGTATTTTTTTTTAACGTTTCATTTTTGAGAGACACAGAAAGACAGAGCGTGAATTGGGGAAGGGCAGAGAGAGAGGGAGACACAGAATTCCAAGCAGGATCCAGGTTCTGAGCTTTCAGCACAGAGCCTGACATGGGGCTTGAACTCATGAACCATGAGATCGTGACCTGAGCCGAAGTTGGATGCTTAACCGACTGAGCCACCTAGGCACCTCTAGATTCAATAGTATTTTGCTAAATGTACGTTACCACCTGTCTATCCACATGTACACTCCTCTACCATCAGTTCAAGGATATTACTCAAATACTACCTTAAATGCACAGTACAGGATAGGATTTTATATTCCTTTGGCCTTTCAAACCCTCTGTAGTCTGTTACAAACTACCTACTGTCTTTTCCAGCTAGCCACTTTTCTTTTTTTTTCTTTAATTTTTGTTTTAAATTTATTTTTGAGAGAGAGACAGAGACAGAGCGTGAGCAGGTGAGGGGCAGAGAGAGAGACAGAAACACAGGATCCGAAGCAGGCTCCAGGCTCTGAGCTGTCAGCACAGAGCCCAATGTGGGGCTCGAACTCGTGAACTGCGAGATCATGACCTCATCGGAAGTAAGATGCTTAACTGACTGAACCACCCAGGAGCCCCATAGCTAGTCACTTTTCATTCTTTATTTCCTCCCATCCTATATGTCTTTTCTGGAGTGCCCACCTCTGTTCTTTCTCTTTGACCCTTCAAAATACTGTGTGCCCTTTAAGACCAAAATCATACCTTCCTCTCATAAAACCTGGTCTCATCTCTCTATCCTGAGATTCCTCTGACCCAGTGATTTTAAGCCATGGCTGTACTTAGGATCCTTTATTCATTCATTCATTCATTCATTCATTCATTCATTCATTCATTCATTTTTAAGTTTATCCATTTGAAAGAGAGAGAGAGCAGGGGAGGAGCTGAGACAGATGATCCTAAGCAGGCTCCATAACACCAGCACAGAGCCTGACAGTGAAACTCGAACTCATGAACCTTGAGATCATGAGACCTGAGCCAAAACCAAGAGTCAGACACTTAACTGACTGAGCCACCCAGGTGCCCTTACTTAGGCACCCCTATGGAACTGGGTGAGTCAATCGGTTGAGGGTCTGACTCTTGATTTGGGCTCAGTTCATGGTCCCAGGGTCTTGGGATCAAGTCCCACATTGGGCTCCATGCTGAGCATGGAGCCTGCTTAAGATTCTCTCTCTCTTTCCCTCTGCCACCCTCCCCTTACTCACACTCTGAAGGAAGGAAGGAAGGAAGGAAGGGCAAGGAAAGGAGGGAGGGAAGGAGAGAGAGGGAGAAAGGGAGGAAGGAGGGAAGAAAGGAAGAAGAGAGGGAGGGAGTGAAGGAAGGAAGAGCTAGGGATGAGGGGTAAGAACCATAGCTCTCATTCATCCTGTCTGTGTTTTATTTATAATCATTAGTTTGGTGGAGGGCTGGTTCTGGGATTACTGTAGGCGGGGGACAAAGTGGGGTCCTGTCTTAAAGCCATTCTACAACCAGTATAGAACAGTTGCACTGATAGGGGACAGGAATTTTGGGGAAGGGTCCCCTGAGAGGGGAGAGACACAGTATCATCCCTCAAGGAGTGATGATGTTCTGAGAAAGGGTGCAAAGTCAAATCACCAAAGGGAACAGGCAGGTAGCTAAATGAAACAGATAAGGTAGGAGTTGCAGCAACCTGCCGATAACATGCCTAGGGTAATGGACCCCCAGTGTGAGTCACGTTCAGCCAACTGTGGCCCTGCAGCAGTGCAAAGCCCAGAGTAGTCAGATTTATGGATTTTTTTTTAACAGGACTCATAAGTTGATATTTTCATGTGAAATCATCCATTATATAAGTGATATAAATAAAACTTTTAATGCTTTGTATGGCTCAAACTAACCCTATCTGTGGACTGCAGGTTTTGCCCTCTTTTAAATATTTATTTTAGGGGCGCCTGGGTGGCTCAGTCGATAAAGCATCTGACTTCAGCTCGGGTCAGGATCTTGTGGTCTATGGGCTCAAGCCCCATGTCAGGCTCTGTGCTGACAGCTCTGAGCCTGGAGCCTGCTTCGGATTCTATGTCTCCCTTTCTCTATGCCCCTCCTCTGCTTGTGCTTGGTTTCTCTCTCTCAAAAATGAATAAACATTTTTAAAATTTTTAAATAATAATAATAAATAAATATTTATTTTAGAGAGAGAGCGCGAGCGCTGATGGGGGTGGGGCAGAGAGAGAGGGAGACAAAGGATCCAAAGCCAGCTTGAGCTGACAACAGAGAGCCTGATGGGAGACTCATGCCCCGAGCCAAAGTTGGATGCTTAACTCACTGAGCCACTCAGGCATCCCTTGCCATTTTTTAAAAGACACAAAAACTGATGGGGTAGGAAGAATCTCAGAACTGGATACCTAGGCTCCTTGGAGCTTGGTTTCTGCACACCTCCAAACCAAGACACCTCACCAGTACTTTCATGCCAAGGGCCATTATATATTCCCACCTTCCAAAGTACAGTGTTCTAGGTAGTAGAAGGCCATTTGAAACTTTGTTCAGGGAATAATAATAATAAATGCACATTCAGTCATCTAAAAATATTTGACTGCTTAGTGTTTGCAGGCTCTGTTCTGGGCACCAGGGCAATAGCCCTGTGAACAATGCATATGGAACTTAGAGTCTAGCACAGAGTCAGAAAATAAATATGAGTAACATGTGCGTTATCTAGAGTGAAGGGGATACATTAAAGCAGGAGAGGGGGATAAGAACCTGAATGAGAAGGAAGAATTTTCATAGAATGGCCAGGGAATTCCACTCTGAGCACTCACTGTGTGCAGCAGACATTTGTCTTGAATCCTTACATTTACCAACTTCTCTGATCCTCAGCATAATCCAGTAAGATAAATGCTGTTTTTCTTGGTTCACAGAGGAAACGGAAGTGCTGATAGGTTAACTAATTGGCTGAAGAGTACTCTAGTTGGGGACAGGTGAGTTCCAAATCTAGTTGGGGACAGTGTGATCTGAGTCCACAGTCTTCCCAACCACCCACTTGCACTCTTCAGGCCACATCAGGGTAGTGGCAGTGTGAGGGAGAGGGAGGGATGGGTCCTGCTACAGATACCCAACCAATACCCCTGTTGGTTGGTATTCACCCTCTGAAGACACTCAGCTGCTTTAAGCAGGTAGAACATAAATGCTTAGATCAAGTAGTCTCTAATATCCTTCAAACTCAGTAAGATGATTATTTTTTATTGTTTAAGTTTGTGCCTGTGATGGCTTCCTCTTCTTTCTACCTAGATTTAAAGCTCCCAATGTGAAGGGACTTGTGTTTTGCTTTTATTCCCCATAGCAGCTAGTCTAAGATGTTGGCAGTAATAGGTGCACAAATGGTGCCCGCTGGATAAAGATAGGAGAATAATGGTCTTTTATTTATTTATTTTGAGAGAGAGCACAAGCAGGCGAGGAACAGAGAAAGAGGGAGAGAGAGAGAATCCCAAGCAGGCTCCACACTGTTAGTGCAGAGCCTGATGTGGAGCTCGAATTCACAAACCGTGAGATCATGACCTGAGCCAAAATCTAGAGTCAGAAGCTTAACTGAGCCACCCAGGTGTCCCCAGAATAATGGTCTTTTAACCCTTGGCACTAAGGTCATATAGGGGAAGAAAAAAAAAAATCAGTTTTCCTCTACCTGTTTTGAGTTCATTGGCCAGGACCTTGTAAATTAACTGACAAAAAGACAGATTAACAAGAGAAAAACAGAAGTTTATTAATATGTACCTCATACCTACACATGGGAATTTCAGTGTTGAGTAACTCAAAGGGGTGGTTAGAACTTGGGCTCGTATAGCATCTTAACAAAAGAACAGTAACTTTTTAGAGATGTGACAAGACCAAGGAAAAGGATTTTGAGTTTCCAAGGTGGCAAGTTGTGGGGAGGTAAATACATGGGAGAACTGATAGAAGGTAGGGGCTAGTTAGTAAGGTTTGTTGTATAAATTCCTCTGGTGCCATCTCCTGGCTGATAAATTGTTTCCAGTGACTAACTTCTATTCTTCCTGGTTGAGGGGAGGGAGGGGAATACCCTCACAAATTTATGTTCTTCTTTTAGGCAGATAGGAGGAGTGCAGAGAGCTTTTCTTGTATTTGCTTCTGCTCAGTTTCCTTCAGCTCAAAATAATACTTATTTCAGGGGCTCCTGGGTGGCTCAGTCGGTTGAGCACCCGAATTCAGCTCAAGTCACGATCTCACAATGGGTTTGAGCCATGCATCCGGCTCTGTGCTGACAGCTTGGAGTCTGGAGCCTGCTTCAGATTCTGTCTGCTTCTCTCTCTGCCCCTCTGCTCACACTCTGTCTCCCTCTCTCTCAAAAATAAACATTAATAAAAAATAATACGTCAAAATGGCGTAGTGGCATATCCTGTTACCCTTCATTTACAAAGTAGGGTTTAGAAATCTCTGCCTCCCACAGGGAAGCCTTTTCATTCCTCATCCTGAGTTGTGAGCAAGGCGAACTCCTGGATGAGCAGCAGTGTGTTTTGTGTTAAAGGCATTCGTGGCATTCAGGGATGTGGCTGTGGACTTCACCCGAGAGGAATGGAGTTTGCTGAGCCCTGCCCAGAGGACCCTGCACAGGGAAGTGATGCTGGAGACCTACAACCACCTGGTCTCACTAGGTAAGGATGGCTTCCCTTAGCACTTAAAATCTGTCCCACAGAGAATTTTCTACACACCATGAGGAAAGCCTACCATGAAGCAACTGGCCGAGGGTTGGGCTTAAAAACAATAATTTACATTTTCCCTCAGGGTAAATCTGGATTTATTAGAATTAGAAACAGGCGGATTTACTCATGTTTTGCATATAATACTGTGTTTCCAGTCCTCTTTCTCAAGTCTGGGGGCTCTCCTCTCTTTTTACTTTACCTTGTTTGAAACCTAGGAGATTTTCATTCACCAAGTATTAATATGCTGATTTTCTGATTAGAGTCACCTTTACTTAACTCTTCTTCTGTAGAGAGTTCACTATTTTTTTAATGGGTTTTTTTAATGTTTGTTTATTTTTGAGAGAGGGGGAGCAGGGGAGGGGCAGAGAGAGAGGGAGACAGAGAATCCCAACCAGGCTGTCAGTGCAAAGCCCAATGTGGGGCTTGAACTCATGAACCGTGAGATCGTGACCTGAGCTGAAGTTCGATGCTCAAACAACTGAGCCACCCAGGCACCCTGAGAGTTCACTGTTATAGGTCCTTTGTACCACCCTTTGGGTTTCCCTCCCCATTTTGGCTCTGAGTTCTGGAATGGCCCCTTGAGCCCATAACCAAAGATCTCCTTGTTTGTTTTTTTCCCCCTATGAACAGAAATTCCATTTTCCAAACCAAAACTCATTTCTCAGCTGGAGCAAGGAGAAGAGCCCTGGACTGAGGAGAAACGATGTCCGCTGGTCCTCTGTCCAGGTAAGTAGGACACAGGGAAGATGGGACCATCTGCAGCTTGACAGATAGGGAAGGAGGACGCATCTCTCGGGTACAGGAAAGAAGCTCTTCTCGGGTCTCCTAGGTCGTTGGTAAGTCTGCCTGGCATGAGTTCCCTTCCAGAATATCATTTTCAGTTGAGGGAGGGACTTTCTTGGTTTCCTTGTCTCTTTCCTCTACCAGGAAGCCTCCCTTCCTCTTACTTGGCTTGCCTTCTTCGTCATGTTTAGTCTTTCCTCATGCATGGGCTTCTTTCTCTCATCGTGATCTTAAAAACTGTACCTGCCCCATGGGGCGCCTGGGTGGCGCAGTCGGTTGAGCGTCCGACTTCAGCCAGGTCACGATCTCGCGGTCCGGGAGTTCGAGCCCCGCGTCAGGCTCTGGGCTGATGGCTCGGAGCCTGGAGCCTGTTTCCGATTCTGTGTCTCCCTCTCTCTCTCTGCCCCTCCCCCGTTCATGCTCTGTCTCTCTCTGTCCCAAAAATAAATAAACGTTGAAAAAAAAAAAAATTAAAAAAAAAACAACAAAAAACTGTACCTGCCCCATGGATATGAAGTCTGCTACTCTTCAGATACTTTCCAGTTTCTCTTAGGCGAAACATAATCGATTATCTCTACATGTCCAATTCGCATAGTTTAAAAAATGCATTACCCAATAATGAAGATTAAGTTCCCATGAGCCAACATCCTAGCTTAAAAAATAAAACATTACCTAAACAATTGAAGTTCCTATTTCCCTTTCCCAGATTCTACCCTATACCTTCCCACACCTTTGCCCAAAGAGTAGTGTTTTTTCAAAATTAGGGATTTAGGGGCGCCTGGGTGGCTCAGTCGGTTAAACGTCCGACTTCGGCTCAGGTCACGATCTCACGGTCCGTGAGTTCGAGCCCCGTGTCGGGCTCTGTGCTGACAGCTCAGAGCCTGGAGCCTGTTTCAGATTCTGTGTCTCCCTCTCTCTCTGACCCTCCCCCGTTCATGCTCTGTCTCTCTCTGTCTCAAAAAAAAAATAAAAAATAAAAAATAAACAAAATTAGGGATTTATAATTTTATGCATGGCTTTTTGTTTTGCTTCATAAATATGAATCCCTCAACTATCTATAGTTGTTTGGCGTATTTTTAAACTTTACATTAACATCATCATAATATGTATATCCTTCTGTAGTTTGCTCTCTTCATTGACACTGAGTTTATAAGATTCATCCATGTTGATATAGGTTGTTCTGGTTCATTCATTTGCACTATTATATCATGTTTATTGTAGTCTATGCATAATTAAAATACAAAATTCATTTATCCATTTTCTTTTGTTGGACATCTGTGGTTTTACCAATTTTGGCTATTAAAGAATGCAACTATAAACATTATCATACAGGTGTCCTTGGGCATAGAAGCATTTGTGTCTTTAAGATATGTGCCCAGGAGTAGAGTAGCTGAGTCAAAGAGCGTGCACTTGTCCATCTGGCCTAGGCAATGCCAACTGGCCCTCAACAATTGTTTCATTAATCTGCAGGGTTGCCATCACAAAAGGTTTTAGTTTTTGACCATCCTTTGGGTATGAAATGGCCTCTCACACTAGTTTTAATTTGCTTAGCACGGAGTTTGAGCATCTTTTCAAACGTTCATAAGTTGATTAGCATTGAATTCTGTGAATTGCCTGTTCAAATCTTTTGCCTGCTTTTCTCTTTCTTGTCCATTGGCAGAAGTATTTAAATAAATCCTGGAAATGAATCCTTTGTTAAATGTATTATGTCCATCTTCTTCCAGTCTGTGTGCTGCCTATATGCTTTTCAAAAAGCTGTTTAATTTTGAAATAATAGAAGTCTCAATCTAAAAATAATGCAGAAAGTTCCCATCTACTCTTCTCTCAGCTTTCTCCAATTTCAAAACCCAAGAAGTTGACATTGGTATAGTACTATTAAATAAACTGCAGACTTTAATCAGATTCAGATTTTGTCAGTTTTTACAGGTACTCTTTTTTTTTAAGTTTATTTATTTACTTAGAGAGTGTGCAGGGGAGGGGCAGAGAGAGAGAGGGAGAGAAAGAATCACGAGCAGGCTCTGTACTGTCACTGTCAGCCTGGAGTCCGACATGAGATCATGACCTGAGCCAAAATCAAGAGTCAAATGTTCAACCAACTCAGCCACCCAGGCGCCCCTCATTTCCTACAGCTTTACAGTAAATCTTAGTGTTTGGTAGGTTAAGTCCTCCCATCTTATTCTTCACGTGTCTTTGTAGCTTTACCCATTGAACTTTTACAATCAGCTTGTCAGATTTCATGAAGTATCCTGTCAGGATTTTGTTGTAGTTGCATTGAATTTATATATTAATTAATAAAGATGTATTAATATATTAATTTGGAGAAAATTGACCCCTTTTACAATATTAAATCTCTTATTGTGGTGTATTCCTTCACTTATTTATTAATACATCTTTATTGCTACCTTTTGGTAGGTTTTATAACTTTGTGTAAATGTACATCTTTAAATTTATACATAGGCTTATTTTTTTTGGAAAGTTATATTTTTACAAACTAAATTTGTATAATTTCTTTGTTAAAATATGTAACTAAAATTCATTTCATGATAATGATCATATACCCAGTGGCCTTCTTGAGTGGTTTAATTAATTCAATAATTTGTCCTGTGTATATTCTTTGGAGTTTCGTACATAGACAACTGTTTTACCTGTTTATTTTGCCTTTTGTTGTTGTTGTTCTTTTTGTCTTTGTTGATCATGTCTATTGTATGTTTTATGTCTGAACTTCTGTTTAATATTTCCTTTCTCTTCTTACTTTGGGCTTATTTTATTATTCTTTTTCTGTTTTTGAGATAGATGCTTAACATTATTACGTTTCAGCCTTCCTTCTTGTCTAGTATAAGGATTTAAGACTATAGATGTTCTTGTATCCCTAACACATATTTGCAGCTTCTGTTCCACCTCTGAATCCTTACCTCTGGTACCTTGAACCCATAAGGCTTTGGTGTTTCATCACTATTTCTCCACTGCTGTGGTTGTGTGTGTCATGAGTGCTCTTTAGCAAGAAACTCACAAACGAAATTCTTACCCTTCCCTTTCCATTGCTTTTTTAGTGTAAACTCTCTCCTCCAACCAGTTTCTGGTTGATTTTGAGTGTTTTCCAATGACTTTAAGTAATTATTTCTTGTATTTATCCAGTTTCATCATTGTTTTCTGTAGGGGATTCTTGTGACCAATTCAATATATATATTTTGGACTTGAGATTTGGAAATTACTTCAAAATTACAGAAAATTTGCAAAAATAAAATTAGTACAGGGGCACCTGCGTGACTCAGTTGGCTAAGTATCCAACTCTTGATTTCGGCTCAAGTCATGGTCTCACAGCTTGTGAGATCGAGCCCCACATCGGGCTTGCTGATAGTGCAGAGCCTGCTTAGGATTCTTTGTTTCCTTCTCTCTCTGCCTCTCTCTCTCTCTCTCTCTCTCTCTCAAAATTAAATAAAAATTAAAAAATAAAATTAGTACAAAGAATACCTTATATCCTCTACACACACATATGTGTAAATATATATGGCATATATGTTTTTATAAAATAGCATCATAAAATTACCTATTAATATTTTACATTTGCTTGTGTGCTATCTTATGTACTTGTTCTCCCATCGCCTTCTCCCCTCTCCAGATGTATGTGGATATATTTATGTATATATATGTGTGCATGTAGGTTCATATGTGCATTTTGTTAAAAGATTTTTTTAAGGAGGGCAATGTTGTCATATAACCATGGTAGTTATCAACGTCAATAAATTTAACTTTGATACAGTAATGTTATCTAATATCTACTTCTCATATTATAATTTTGTCAGTAGACGCAGTAATACCTTTTTTTACTCTCCAGAACATCCAATCCAGGTTTAGGTAGCACATTGACATGTCATGTCTATTTAATCTCCCTTAATACAGATCATTTCAGTAACCTTTCCTGTCTTTTGGACACTGACATTTTAGAAATACACAGTCTTACAGTTCCTGTTTTTTATAAACTTCATTGAGATATAATTTATATACCATAAAATCTACTTATTGTAAGTTGCATTATTTTTGGTAAACGTTTATTGTTGTATGATCATTTCTTCCATTTAACTTTAGAATAGTCCATTGTTCCAAAAAGTTCCTTTCTGCCCATTTGCATCTATTCTTCCAGTGGTTCCTCCTAGGGAACCACTGATATGCTGTCTCTCTAGATTTGCTGTTTCTGGACTTTTTCTATAAATGGTATCATAAAATATATAGCTTTTTGTATCTGGCATAATGTTTTTGAGTTCATCCGGGTTGTGGCATGTATCAGTAATCCATTCCTTTTTATTTCCATATAATATTCCATTGTGTGAATAGAGCAATTTTGTTTACCCATTCACAGGTTGATGGATATGTGGGTGGTGTCTGCTTCTGGCTATTGTGAATAGTGCTGCTAAGAACAATCATGTACCAGTCTCGATGTGGGCATACATTTTCATTTTGGGGTAGATAAGTAGCTATAAAATTTCTGGATTGTATGCTTTGTTCACATTTAACTTTTTAAGAAGCTGCAAATTGTTTTCCAAAGTGGCTGTACATTTCTATTAGCATTTCTATGTTACATTTCCGTTTTCTATTTTTACATTTTCTGTTAGCAGGATGTTAGAGTTTCACTTTCTCTGCATCCTTGTCAGGACTTGGAATTGTCTCTAATTGTGATTATAAACATTCTGGTGGATGTGTAGTGGTATTTCACTGTGGTTTTAATTTGCATTTCCCTAGTACTGATGATGTTGATCTTTTCATGTGCTTAGAACCATTACATATCTTCTTTAATGAAATAGCTATTCAGTTCTTTTGCCCATTTTTCAATTGGATTGTTTTGTCTTTTTCACTTGTAAGAGTTGTTCATATATTTTAGACACAGTCCTATATCAGATATACAATTTTCACATACTTTCCACTCTATAAAATGAAGTTTCAGAAGACAAGTTTGTGGCTTGGCTTTTCACTCTCTTTAATGGTGTCTTTTCTTTCTTTTAAAAAAAATTTTTTTTTAATGTTTATTTATTTCTGAGACAGAGACAGAGCATGAGTGGGGGAGGGGCAGAGAGAGAGAGGGAGACACAGAATCCGAAGCAAGCTCCAGGCTCTGAGCTGTCAGCACAGAGCCCGACATGGGGCTCGAACTCACAAACCATGAGATCATGACCTGAGTCCAGTCATGACTTGAGCAACCGACTGAGCCACCCAGGCACCCCAATGGTGTCTTTTCAAGCATAAGTTTTACACTTTAGTGATGTCCAGTTTTTAAATGGATTGTGCTTTTGGTGGTGTAACTAAGAACTTTTTTTGCCTTTTGTTTGGAGTGTTCGGTTTGTTCATATTTAATACAATTATTGATTGCATTAAGCCTGCCATTTAGCTATTTGTTTTTTATATGTCTCATGGTTCTTTTTATTCCTCTCCCTTCCTTTTGGCACAAATATGGAGTTTTTGCAGTTATTTTCTTAGTGCAGCTCTAGGAATTGAAATATGCGTCTAATTTATCACAATCTAGTTAATAGTTTCAGTAAAATAGATATTTTATAAAGCCCACAATATGGTGTTATAGGCCTTTTATGATCATCTTAGGCACTTTAGAGAAGTTAAGAGAAGAAAAGAGAAAAATATACAGACATAGTCTTTTATATTCACTTACATATTTACCAGTGTTGATGGTCCTCATTTGTTCCTGTGGATTTGAGTTAGTGTCTGGTGTCATTTCTTTTCAGCCTGGAGGACTTACTTAGTATTTCTTGTAAGGCACATTTGCCAGCAATAGATACTTTCTGAGTACTTTTTAATCTGTGAATATCTTTGTATCAATTTTTTTCTTCTTTTTTTTAAATTTAAATTTTATTTTTAAGAGAGAGAGAGAGAGAGCGCGCGCGAGCATACACATGATTGGGGGAGGGGCAGAGAGAGAGGGAGACACAGAATCCGAAGCAGGCTCCAGGCTCCCAGCTGTCAGCACAGAGTCCGATGCAGGAGTTGAACTCATGAACTGTGAAGTCATGACCTAAGCTGAAGTCGGACACTGAACCCACTGAGCCATCCAGGCACCCCTATCAATTTCATTTTTGAGGGATACTTTTGTAAGAATAGAATTCTCCCTGGCTAGCTTTTCTTTCTTTTTCTTTTTTTTTTTTTTTAATTTATTTTGATAGAGAGTGTGCACATACATGCATGTGGGGTAGGGGCAGAGAGAGAGGGAGAGAAAGAATCCCAAGCAGGCCCCTATACTGTTAGCTCAGAGCCCAATGCAGGCTCGAACTTATGAACCATGAGATCATGGCCTGAGCAGAAATTGGAAGCTTAACCAACTGAGCCACCCAGGTGTCCCCTTCCTTGTTAACTTTTTAACCTTTATTTCAGCACTTTGAATAAATCACTCCACTGCTTTTTGGTCTCCATTACTTCTGATGAGAAGTTAGCACTAATCATACTGTTTCTTCCTGTGCATGTTGAATCATTTTCCTTTTACTGGTTTTAAGATTTTCTCTTTGTCTTTTTTTTCTGATAGTCAACAATCTGGCTATGATGTGTCTCTCTAGGACTTTATGTTTTTCTTGGGTTTGTTGAGCTTCTTGGATTTGCAGATTAATGTTTTTCATCAAATTTCAGACTTTTTAGTTACTATTTCTTTGGACATTTTTTTCCTGTTCTTTCTCTCTGTTGTCTCCTTCATGTGTCCACATTGCACATAGATTGGTTTATTCGATGGTGTCCCACAGGTTTCTGGGGCTCTTTGCTTTTCCTCGATCTTTCTTTCACCTGTTCTTCAGTTTAGGTAATTTCTATAGATTTATCTTCAACTTCATTGTTTCTGTTACCAACTCAAATATGCTGTTGGATCTCTCTAGTAATTTTGTAATTTCAGTTATTTGACTTTTTAATTCCAGAATTTCCTTTTACTCCTTTTTAATAGTTTTTATTCTTTATTGAGATTTTCTATTTCTTAAGTGGTCATACTTTCCTTTAAGTTTTTACACACTGTTTCTTTTAGTTCTTTAATTATATTCATAATACCAGCCTTGAATGCTCTTTTTCCCTCGTACATCAACATCTGGGCCACCCAGCAAAGTTTCTGTTGGCTACACTTTTTTCCTCCACATAGGTCACTCTTTCCTGTTTCTTTGAAAACTGGATATTTTAGATACTGCATTGTATCCCTTCTGGTATCTCATGTTTCCTGCCTAGATGTTGTTGCTGTTTTTGGTTTAGAAACATTTCTAACCTTAATACAGGGAATATGCTTTTTCTGTGAAGATGATGTTTCTGTGTGATTTGTTATTTTATTCTTGTGTTTATTTTTAATCCTGGCTTCCTGTTTTCAACCTTGTGTCTGCAGAGCTTAGTGAACTGTGACATTAGCAATAGGTTGTGTTCAAAGACTTTGAGCCAGTAAGGCTTCCTGCCTCTGCCACTGGATGAGTGTGTGGGGTGGGGAGCTCAAAGTTCAGATAGCTTTCAAGCCTTTTCTGGCCTTTTACTTTCCACTGACCCCTCTGATGTTTTCCTCTTTACTTGGTTGTAGCCTCTCTTATCAGGAGGGTTATGTGCATCAATCACATCAATCTCCCCTGCTTTTGCAAACAGCCTTTCAGTCAGCCAGGATTGTGTGGAGAGTTTATGAAGCCCTTCCCTGGCTCTCTCACTTTCAGGTTTCCCTTGCTACATTTCTGGATGGTCTACCAGTCTTTTTTGTTGTTGTTCCCAACCAAGACTGAACCTCAGACAGCAGCCCCTGGTGGCCTTCCGTGTTCATTTACCACCTAGATCACATTTATGGACAGTTCCACTGGGCATTGGTTTTTCACCTCCCGCTCAAATCAAGTGACTGCCCCTCTGGCAGCAGCAGCACTGATCATTCTATGGCCTGTCCTAGTATAACGACCACACCAACCAAGCTGGGGGATTGGAAGGGTGAGAGCAGCTCCAGGCAACAATGCTGCAGATTCCCACTTTTCTTATCTGGAGTTCAGTATGTTTCGTGAAGAAACACTTCTCAAGTTATTGTAGGTTTTTGATTGATTTCTGGAATTAAACTTTGTAGTCTGTCAGGTATTGTGAAAATAAGTTTTTAGTATGAGTTTTCCACATTGCCATAGAACAAGGGTCAAAAACTTTTTCTGTAAGGGGCTACATTAGTAAATATTTTAAGCTTTCCAAGTTATGTGCCCCATTGGTTGGTTGGTTGGCTTGCTTTTCTTTCTTTCCTTTCCTTTCCCCTTCCCTCTCCTCCTCTCTTCTCTCCTCCCCTCCCTTGCCCCTCCCCTTCCCCTCCCTTGCCCCTCCCCTTCCCCTCCCTTGCCCCTCCCCTTCCTTCTCTCTTCTTTCTTTCTTTTTTCTTCTTTCTTTCTTTCTCTCTTTCTTTCTTTCCTTCTTTCCTTCCTTCTTTTTCTTCCTTTCTCCCTCCCTCTCTCTCTCCCTCCCTCCCTCCCTCTCTCCCTCTCTCCCTCACTCCCTCTCTCCCTCTCTTTTTCTTTCTCCTTCCTTCCTTCCTTCCTTCCTTCCTTCCTTCCTTCCTTCCTTCCTTCCTTCC